AGGTTTTAAAGACAAACAAAAATTGAGGTACTGTCTCTTTCAGTAACTACTGTGAAAACGCGTAGCAGGGAAACAAAAGGAGAAAAAAACCCTTACAGTATTATACTTGATCTGTGCGAAACGTTGGGGGAAAAATCCAATAAAAGAAGGCCGTTTGCCCTCCAACTCAAACAGCCCACAAAACCACTTAATTGACACAAATCAGAAAAGGCAACTCTTTTAGGTGCTAAATTGTCGAACACTCAAACGATCTTCAAGATTTTTAGGTCGAAAAAAAAACAAACGATAACCTCTTCCACGCAGGAAAATGCCTACTTAGTCAGGTGACTTGTTCTGAATAATGTTTGGTCATCCTCATCTCTTCTGCTAAGGAAATCGTTTCTAGTAATCTTCGAAATTCGTTCACCCAACCGTGATCCGCTCCGAAGAGGCAGATTTTATTCTTATTCACCAGAAAGAGGGTATGCCCGACGCGTCCACGGATGGCGTTGAGCGAAAGTCAATTGCAATACAAACAGACAGAGTAGAAGTAACAATGCTGGTCGGAGGGTTGAGGATTAACATTGTGACACAGAGGACCGAAAAATATTTTCTCTCAAAAATAATCTGCGAATGCGCTGCTAAGCGAAATCGGACTCCGGGGAAAGTAACAGGGGCAAACAATCAATACAGTTATGTTGCATGCAAAGGGCAAGGCAACTTTGATTTTAACAAGGCAAAGGACATTAACAGAGATAATCGTGGGGTCACCAAAATAATAAGAATGACAATGAGGAAAAAAATTAAGAGAACACGCAAGTTTACTGAATAAAACAAAGAAATATTTTCACACAGTCCGATATAAGGGTTTTAATTCCAGTCTAAGTGCATGCGAAGAGGGTTCATGCAGACGGACCGATGCAGGCACCACTGTCAACAGCATTAAGGGGAAGATATACTGGGAGAGCTGAGGTCTGACTGGCGATCGTCACATGCAACAGCGCCCAAAACCATTCACAAAGAGCAGTCGTGGCATGAATGTGATTTTTTTACAATGAACGCATACCTCGCATCGTCCACCTCACTCTCCCTTCTGAAACGCGGTGTGTTGACAGCGAGTCAAAAATAACTGGGACATGCCGGGTCGTGCTATCTGACAACTCTTAGACTACTTCTACAAGCACCACACACAAACATGTAGCCGAAAATTTCCAATACCATATAGATGTATTGGCCTGACGAGAATTTATCGAAAGTATACTTACGCTCGCCAAATACTCTACTGAATCTAGTAAATACTTAAAAAGCATCGTAGCAGTATGACCCTATTGCCGGAGGACGGCCGACAGTTGACAACCTTTCACTTGGCACTTCTGATTTCATAATGGTAAGCCAGATACGAACCTGCCAATAAAGTGGAAATCTCGCTCTGGACTTCGTTGTTGCTCTCGTTCCTTGTCTATGCACCAGTAGCATGTTCAAGCCTATCGGCCTACCCATTCAGGCGTTGAATGGCTGACGTGGCGCAGGCACGTGTCTTAAAGTGTGTCGTGCAAACGTAGGAAAACAGCTAGGGACCCAAGCCGACAGAACATTGTGACCGTCGTATGCCATGAGCCAAAGTGAACTATGTTGTGTGTGTTAGCTACGCAGCCCGCCTGGGCGCCATGAATAAACCACAGAAGAGACGAAGAAACATACCCAGGTGTCCGAACCGGTGTAGAGCAGACGGCCCTCGATGCTGTCATCAGTGTTTCTGGCACACAGCAGACAGTGGCGAGGATCATCGGCGAGCATCTTCTCCTCCGCAGCAATGACGCTCAAGGGAAGGATGCCTTTAATAGCACTGGGCACATCATGCGTTTTGCTTGCATCCAGTGGCACAGATTCCTCATCACTCTCGTCCAGATCGACGGTCTTGCGGGGAATGGATGACAACGGCTGCATTCGTGGTGCATAGGCGGTTTCTAAAGCCTCCCAGTACTCGGGCAGAGCGAAGTAGAAGGGTTTCAAACAACTCGAATCGACTGAGTTAGTTGGCTTGCCTGTGGTACCAGGCGACGAGAGGCTCGTAATTGCACCAGTCCGCTGTCGAATGAGAATGCGCTGCCAGCGCAGAAACAGTTCCTTCTGGAAGTTGGATATTGCAACTAGGTGGGGGAAAAATGGAAAAAGCGAGGGCAAAAAGTCAAACGACACAGCCAAATATGACGGCAGATGTGAAAGCCAACGCTTTACTCACTTCGATCCTCAAGAGTGGACCAATGTTCGATCCAGCGCTCGTCGCGTGTTTCCTGTCGGTAGTTTTCTGCCTTCTCTTCAGCATGCGGATCAAAACACTCCAGGGCAACATAGGTGGTACCAGATCCTTGCCCGTGATTTGCATGACTAACAAAGGCCTCTAAATCGGTCATCTTGTGTAGGTGGGGCGAGGGCGGACAGCCACATTCTGCATGGCAGCTTGTTAGATGGGTACATATGGTCTGCCAGCAGGTTTCGTAGATGGCGTAGGTGACCTCGGTGTGCGCTTCGGGACCACGATGAAGGGCCCGAGAATGAGTCTCCTCCAAAAGGCCCGAAATTCTGGGGCATGTAAGCTCGTGGAGTTCGCTGTTGGCAAGGGCGCACAAATGCTGAAGCACCTTTGACAAAGAACCATGTGCCTGGCGAAGCAAATCACGAACTATGGAGAGAGTGGATATATTAAGATGCATTCGGTAAAGCGGTACTTTAGTCGCCATCAAATAACTGAAACCACGATGTTATTATGCATTTAGAGAACTAACTCAATAGAACAGTAAAGATGTCCGAGGTGACTTATTGCAACTAACGTTGCTCACTTGTTAGGCGCTAATCAGTCAATGTATCATAAAGAAGGGAAAGAAGAAATGTTCTTATGGCTCACGCTCACAAAGACCATGTTTTGGACGCTATAGAGGGTCCACTAATTATGTCAGCTAGTCACCGAAAAAGATTAAAGTGGTTGCAGTAGCCGGTGAAGGAACAACACATCTACGGATTTCTAGCCAGACCTTTACGGATTAGAGCCTCTGCGATATTTTTATTGGTTTTTTTTGTAAGTCTGTTCAATTAAGGATACGACCGGTTCTTGCTCTTACCCAAGTTATAGTCTGGTCCTCTGAGCATGGGCTTCAGGTGCAGGTTGTTTAGACGAAGATTATTCGACGTCAAAAAGGAGGGGACAAATAGTGAGCAAAAAGGATACACCGTTGTCAGTACATTCAGCAAAAACTGATTCTCCTGGAGGTTTCTACTAACGATCTAAGGAATCAGGGTGCCTTGATCTTTGATCATCCCATGAAGAGACAAATCACTGTTGTCCCTGGCAGCTCTGGGAGAAAGCAGAATTTAAAAAAAAACTAGAGATTTGTGTGAAAATAAGTTGCAGATTTATGTTCGAAGACGATGACAGATCGATCGCTGAGAATCGTTTTATTAACTAAAACGGTACGAAACTGGAATAAGAACCCCGGTAATGCAAGCGATCTTGTGTACAATTCCATGAAGAGTAAATATTATGGACACGTAACCCTAACCCTTACACCAACCCTCAAACAAACCTTAACAGTAAACCTAATCTCTGGAAATTAGTGCAATCTCTCCGAATAGGGGGGAGGGGGATCATATTCCGTGTCTTGCCGTTTATACACCTGGAATCGTGCATTATACCACCCAAAAATACGTGTGCTTGTTTGGAAGTCGCACAGAATGAGGACTACCGTCTACTGCGATAGAGCATCCGTAAGTTTTTCATTATAATGAAGGCGACCTGTGTAACATCCACCTGATGACTAACGGAATAAATGCAGAATTACCCCTGTGTACATTTATCTCATTCACTGCCGTTGCCACTTTACTATAATAACCTGATAACATTCGGGCCAGCAGGTGGGGTTCTGTTCATGGCCTCTGGCACCCATACGGATCTGGCTTGCCTCAGAAAACGTTTGACGGTCCCATGTCTTAAAGACAGTAATTTTTAACTGCTGCCGGTTTTGGGGGTTCGCATCCCCTTATTACAGTTATATCCAGTCTCAACTAACCTGCAAATATCCACTTCCTGTATTTCTGGTTTTCGTTCCCCAAAAGCTATTTCGTAGTTAGTAAATAATTAGTTAGAGGCTGAACTACGTCTTCTCCTCCCACCAGCACACAACGCATGTGTGTTGAAATTTACGACAGGGTGAAAATAGGACTGTGAGAAGAGAAAGGCTGTACCTTCATCGATGCACTCGCTAGCAGGCATCCAGGGGAAGAGGCGTTCCACGCAGGACACAAGCCACTGGAGCAGACGTCGCAAACGAAGGAATTCTGGACTGGTGGTTGCGGTGCAGGAGAGCCGTTGAAGAAGACGAGCCAAGAGACTGTAGGCCAGTGACCGCTGGAGATAGGGAAATAACATAAGCATAAGCCGGAGGGCAAAATTTCGCATAGAACATTTTTTTATGGGAAATTCATAGGACGCACCGGAGTGGTCCAGTACTCGAAGGTGTCGCCTTCGGTAAGCCAAGCAGCAGGCATTGGAGGTGCATCAAGATCGATCCGTACAGCCCAGGCGGGTACACGACAGGAGTCGCCGTCTCGGTAGGTGCCGACAGACGAAGAGGTCGCAGAGACTTCGTAGTCTGCGTCATCATTGACAGACCGCTCATCACCAGCAGTGGCATCATCCCGCACAGAAGCTTCGTCCCCGGATAATGCATCTTCTTCCTCTTCTGTTGAAGTACCGCTATCACTCGAGTGAGTTGTCGTCACGACGACCGTCTCACAGACCATCTC